TTCTTTCTTTCTTTCTTTCTTTCTCTTCCCATCTCTCTTTTCTCTCTTTATTTATCTTCATTTTCTTTTCTTTCTTCGCCAGTTTTATTTCTTTCCTTGTTTGTACCTTTAATTTATTTTGCTAAATTCATTCGTTCTTGCAGACATTCCATTAACAGATAGTATTCTCTCGTAGGTAACTCTTTTAAACAGCATCGAAAATTCTCTTCCTTCTTGGGTCTTGAAGCGAATTCAGAAGAAAGTTGTTACCATTTATCCCAACAAACGACCATTTCGTTCAGTAGTAAGTATCCAACATTATAACATTGATAACAGTACAACAATATGTCGCAACAGTTAAGTCAGTAACAGACGACACGAACGGCAAATCCCATGCACATTATGGTATGGCATGGCACGATACATGAAGCTGTCACGGTACATAATTGACGACATTAGTGGAACCAATGATAGCGTGTTAGATTACTGCTTATCCAATCAAAATACAAGACACGTTACCTGCACAATCACGTCACGTTACGGAACATTCCACGGTAACGGTACATACTTGACGACATTAGTGGAACCAATGATAGCTCGTTATATTACTGTTTATCCAATCAAAATACAAGACAGGTCACCTGAACAATCACGTCACGTTACGGCACATTCCGCGGTAACGGCACATACTTGACTACACTAGTGGAACCAATGACAGCGTGCTAAGTTACTGCTTATTCAATTAAAGTGTTAGGACATAGTACCGTCATGGAACTGCACGGTTACTTGGGCGAGTGAACTGATCTCATAGTGGATCCTGTATTCTGATTCCTAGTCCTTTGTTCAGAGGATCTAGATGATACTTTTTATTTTTTTAAACTAGATATTTGATGCTTTGATTGGGTTTGGTAAAGTGGAAGAAATTGAAGAGGAAAAAAATGAAGAGGTGGAAGATTTAGCCGACTCAGTGAAAGAATTACATTACAAGGTAGAAGAACATGCGCAAACGTAAGTAAAGTACATATGCAGTCAAAAAACTCACTTTTTTATTATGGGAAATTTCATGCGTGACGTATTTCCGGTGGCGTATTTTGTGCAAATTTGAAGCTGGCCGTCAAACTTTGGGGGTGGCATGGGTGGCACGGGTGGCACGGGTGGCATGGGTGGCACGGGTGGCATGGGTGGCACGGGTGGCATGGGTGGCACGGGTGGCACGGGTGGCCATAAAAATCAAGATGTGAGTTGAGGGTGTGCGTGTGGAGGGAACCTCTAGGAAGAGCCCAGTAAGGGGAGTGATGGATGTAAAATATGAGGTTTTTGTATCGTGCTGGTTGCAAAAGACGGCCGATTTGTTCTTTAAAGTTTATCGCATTTTGCCAAAAATATAATTTTAAAATACTTGAAAAGTTCAAAGGTGAACGAAAATATTTTTTTGGATTTTTCGCCGAAAGAAGATTTACGATGCATTTTGTGTTTGAAACCTCTGATAAGAAGTGACCTAAACTCAGAAAAACTTGATTAGTTCTTCAGTTCAGTAGAAAACACTTTTTAAAATAGAATCGATGCCGTGATATCTCTTTAAAAAAGTCGACTAAAATTGCGCAAAACTCTCGATACGTACTAGTAATCCAACTACAATGTTCGAATAAGTAAACTTTTGCCGCAAAAATCGATCACCACAACAAGAATTATCATCTCTAAAACAACAGACCCTGTGTAGACCCTGTTTATGGTAAAAGATATAATTAATTGTACTGAGTTCCTGTTTCAATTATTATGTCAGCTCGCGTATTGTGTTTTTCTTTTTTCTTTTTTTCTTTTCTTTTTTTTTTTTTGATGACCGTAATAACCAGTTTTCGGTCAGTACGAAAGTAGAAACCCTGAATTTGACAGGAAACTCGGGAAGAACTTGGAACTTGAGTGAAATTGCATACCCTGCTTAGCGACACATACCCGTATAGTTTATATAGGGGATTCCCCCCCCCCCCCCCCGGGACCAATAGTAGAGTAACGAGAAACACAACAACAAAAACAAAAACTAAAAACACTACTGCTATCTCACCATCGACATTAAATCAGGGATTCCTTCTCACCTTTTCAATTTGAAATTATAATTCCCAAATTACATCTCTCCAAAAAAAACCTTACTTGTCTCTAAAGGCCTTGATCCAGATCCTGTTAGTTTGAATCAAACATTAACAGACTTCAATTTCGCAGAATGGATGAAATGAAAGTCATGCTCAAAGAGATGTTGGACATGATGAAACAAGTAGAGCTGGAGAAGAAGGTCAAGGTGAAACGGGAATCCATTGCCGTGCCGGCCTTATCTATTTCAGGTTTAACAGGTTCACTTGGTTCTGCCTTTTCTTTTGGATTGGGCGGAACAAAGAAGACTGAAGCTGAAGATACGAAGGCCTAACTTTGTACCACTCCCCGCCTCTAGTGGACCTAAGGAATGCGCTTGAAATCACCAGACATTTACGGCCATACTTTTTCACACCCTCTGGGAACAAATCGGTATGAATGGAGAAGTGAAAGTGGAGAGAATAAGGAAGGATGCCTAACTTAACTTAACATTACTGCCTAATAGTAGCACACACGAGGAAAAGAGGAAAGAGATCGTTTACAGAAATACTTTTTCTGGTCTCGGGAAATCGGTTTGAATGGGGGAAGCCGTGGAAGTAAARGGAAAGGGAAAGGGTCGGGAGGGAAGAAATGCGAGACTACGAAATATATATAAGCAATATGCCGAGCTATTTTWAAAAAATGATGAATATTGAATATTGCATACTGAATAGTGCATTCAAAGACCGAAAGGCATTGTGGGTCTCGTTAATTTGAAATAAAAAGTAAATATGTTTCGAATGGAATTCACTGAAAGCAAAATAAATAACTGATTACATATTTTACTTTAAACACTGTATTTGAGAATATATATAGGCTATATATTTGTACKGTAATTAAGCTGATCTGCGCAGTATATCAAGCAACTTATGCAGATGCTAATTATAGACACTATTACACAACACCCAAAATGCACTTCGGTCTTGAAATACGCTATTAAGTATGTAGTACTCAGTATTCGACGTGTTTTGAAATAGCTGTATATAGCATTATTGTGATATAAACACGGTGGTAGCTGTGCAGCAAACGAGAAGCAAGCTTAGGAACACGAAGGAATATYCCAGAATATTATCTTGCGTTTCGAGTGCCTTGCAGCTTTTCTCTGAATGGGTAAATCTAGGCAATCAGCGCGCACGTTATATCGTCAAACATTTCATCATAATAACCCTAATATATAGTATTAGAGTTACACTCACGTATGATAACCAAGAGCTTCATCCATTAATCATTATTATTAATCCCAATACATACTTGCAATATAAATGCAAATAGCGTAATATAAAAGTTGGCATTAATACACATGTTTTATGCTAGGTTTCTCATTGTTTTTTCCATTTTTATTTTGTACTTTTGCATACTTTAGTTAAACATTAGGAGGTATTTTGTTTCATATTTACAAGGGCCTCAGCTTCCACATATCACGTACGGTATATCCAATTGCGCATGCTAGAGTGCACAGTGTTTGTGTACATTTTCTATTTTTAAATTTTCGCCACTAAAAAAATCACGATATTCTGCTCAACCTCGTCCAATAAATGCTTATTATTATACATTTTACTCACTATCTAAATAGTCCCTTTCACAGTTCCCTGCGCCATCTTGAAAGATAGCCGTGCCTTTACATCGAAGCGAGACGAACGTTGAGCTTGCAATGATGTGAATAATTGTCCAAGGTTTAATAAAAGGTCTCTATCATTGCAAGATCACCGTTCGTCTYGYTTCGATGCAAAGGCACGGCTACCTTTCAAGATGGCGTAGGGAACTGTGAAAGAGACGATTCAGGTTGAGTGGCTGAAAACATGCTTTTTAGGATAAATCTTTTATCCCCGCTAAAATTTTTGCTGGTAATAAATTTATCCTGTCAAATTCACTCAAGGTGACCGCGCGTGGTAGCTTTGCCAATTGAATCGAGATGTTAGTTTATTTTCTAAACGCATACCTTTTGATGCGTTTCGGCCATTTGTTTCGGCATACTAARACAATCGAAAACGTGCATTTAGAAACGCTCTCCAGATAGGAGACATTTGAAAAAGGAGGCTTTTGAAAATGCGTTGACGTCATTGTTTTTCGCATGCGCAGATGACAATTAATATTGCATCATTTCCGTTCGTATCTGCGTGTTCGATCTTCTTTTGGATGCGTTTTCATTGAGCATAAGACGAAAATGGAGCGTTTTAAAAAACACATTAATGTGGAAAATTTGGATTTAAATTTGAAGTTGAAATTTATTTAAATTTCATTTTAACAAAATTATGATCCCTGATCATAATAGTTTGTTTGCCATTAATACTAAGTATCTGATTATTTTAATTTTATCTTCATCCCGTTTTGTTTTGTTCATCAGATCCCCCCATTTTTATCCTCTGCTTTGATCCGTTATCTCTTCAAGAGATAGTTTTGGTATATAGTTTTATAGTTTTGGTCTCCGATCACTAAGGTTTGCCGAGTTCTTTTTTTAGTTCCCGGCTAGCTTCTCAAGATGCGACAATTAACACACATACAAAACTCAAATCAATAACAATTTTACTAAAGATTGTCATTTTGGAGAAATTGTAAAGCCATGAATTGAAGTTCGTGACATGAAATGGCTATCTTAAGCAGAACAAACAACAAAGAATCTTAACTATTTTGAATTTACTAAATTTACCGAATAAATGAATCTAGCTGCACTCAACTGATTCTTAATCCTATAACAATGTAACGTAAAAATGTGAACCATTTCCTTAGCTGTTTATTGTGATTTCTTGTTACCAGCACGTTGTTTAAGAAGAATAACGTCAGAAGCATTGTGTTCGGAAGCCTGTTGTGGTAGAGTTATTACAAGCTTGACCTTGGAAGGTGCTACGCTTCAATACTGTTTGATGTACACACTCAGCTTGAGCCCGCACGCAAACGTACTGAAAATTTGAGCGAGAAACGTGGAACCCTGGCACTTAAGTGGCTTCCGCACTGAATTAACCAATGAGAATACGTAACTAACACACATTGTTCAATCAAACTCCTTTAATTTGAGTGCCATTTGATTAGACAATTTTCTTTCAAGAATAATGTTTTAGCTCCTTGGACCAATGATAGCAACAATAAGCTTGAAGGTCTTGAACTCATGAGAAAACGGGCGTACAATTTGCAATATGTTTCGCAATCCGTTAGAAACTTTATTATCCTCGCAATTCACTTCCTCAAATTATCTTGAATAGGCTTGGCACTTATTTGTCCTCAAAAGGTCTATCAATAGCCAAATGCAGTAACTAGTAATATTCTTGAAGCGTTAGATCTTTCTAGTTTATTTACTGTTTGAAAGAGTTGGTTGTTTCAACGGCTGAACTGGTAGAGTTGTATACACACAGCAAGGGACTGCACGATATCTTTACAAGCCTTTTCAAAGAAAATTCATGTTTTTCAACTCGTAATAGAAGCATTCGTTCGCAAACTATAAATATCTTGATATCTACATGTAAACCTGTTTTTATTTATTTTTATTCTTCCTTCTTTTTCTTTCTTTCTTTCTTTTTTTGCTGAGTCATCGCCAGGCTCTTGATTGATCTTTTTATGCAATCCGCAAACAAAACAACTTATTCCTCATGAAAAAAGTTTCCTAAAAAAAAATCGCTCTAAAACCATGGAATTTCTCATAATTTCTATGCACTTGACAGTCAATTTTGTTTTTGCTTTAAATTCAGTCTTAATGGATTCATTTATGATTCTGTTCACATTCTACTTTCTCGGGAATTAGTCTGCAGAAATGGAATTTCTTAACTATATAACAAGGTGAAAAAATAATTTTTGACATTGGAATCCAAGTTAATTGAGATTTTAGTTCACTATCGTTTAATTTCTTTGATATCTTTATCTATATTTGTTCAGTTTACAGTTTTCTTAAAAAGTCTTATTTAAAAAAATATCATCGATTTAAATCGATTGATTTTATGTTAAAAGCGTAACCTCATTACTCAATCAGTGATATTTGACGAGCTATCTTTTAAAAGACGACAAGGGAATTAGAAAACACCTTCTAGCTAAAGTCTTCGTACGTCAGTGCGTTTCTTGGCACAATTCATAACCACATAACAATGGTGGTACAATAATGTATATATAGTAATTATAATAGTGTTTAAAATGGACGACCTGTTAGTCGTAATAAATCAGTCATCACGATTTTGCTGCAATTGCTTTTGCCAAATACAATGTAGTCCATCTAAAAAGATAGAAAATCCCAAATTTTTTAGGATAATTTATAAAAACAATGAATCTTTAAAAAGATCATAACGACGAAGTATGARGTTATAAATGCGATCAGTTGGACACAGCGCAATTGTTTGGTGTTAACATGATCACCAAAGCCTTTTGTTCACGGGTTATTGAAATAAAATTATGAGCGATATTCGAAAGCTTGTACTTCTTATGTCAATTAAGTCTTTATTCCAGGCTTTCTTAATCTCCCAAAACGAATTATATGTAGAAACCTCAATTCATATGCAGTTATTAGCACATGGAAGTGGATTCGAATAAGTAAACACGAAAATCTTTTTCTTTTTCTTTTTTTAGAGTTCGTTAGATAGGTTTTGCGATTCTGAATTTATAGAAACATTACAAGAACTTCTTTCTACATAGTTTTATTGATTAAAAACGCCTGYCCTTTCATTGTTTCTTGAAAACTGACTATTTGTCTTTTGGCTTCCAACTACCTTAAAACCTTTTTTAGTTTATTACTTGCGTGATACTAACAATTATAAAACTTGTGCCAAAGCACGGTTAACAAGCAGCACTGAATTGCATAGATGGTGGTCATTGCTCAAACCTATGAAAAACATATATTTGTAAACATATTGTGGATTAATATATAAGAATGAGATTAATCTCACCTAACAAAACAGTCAGGTTTGTTCGACTGTTCTTGTCACCCAGAGCCGTGCACAACTTCCGAAGATTAGCGGTTTGTAGTGTGAATACTCCGAGGTGGTCTAGTAAGCTTTGGCTTTTATCACGTAACAATATGAAACGAAAGACGAAATAAATATTAATTGTCTTCACAGAGAAAAAGAAAGCTAAAAGGATGCTTTGAATGGTCCTAACCGCGCGAGCGAGAAAGAGCAGGAAAGACTGCGGGAAAGTGCGGGAAAGAGCCTTCTTAGTTGGCTGAGCGTATAGAGCCCGGTTAATAAAAAAATATTACACTATTAGAATATTATCTTTTTTTTTTATTTAACGGAATAAAATCAACCCTGCTTGGAAAGGGTTCTAGAATAAAAGATCATGAATACTGAATTAGGATAATTAGCAGTACATGTTATAGAGGCCTAACAAGCTTCATGTAAAACCAAGGGTAAATAAAGTATATCTATCTTTTATCTATCTATGAACCCAATCTGAAGTCTCAGAGTAAAAGATTCATTTTCACTGTTATATGAAATGTTTTTAAAAAGATTCATGAAAGATTATAACATGATCTTTACGATCTCGTGATCAACATGCTCCAATATTCACTAACTTTATTGGACAAAACGTTGAATAACGTATCATTATTAATTTTTGTAATAATTTATATTTGTCGAATATTATGACAGCTCGTACAAGATCAAAGACCTCCGCATTAATCTTATGTTATTTAATACATTTTCGCTTTATTTTATCATGGTCCCGTACAAAGCTCTCTGTAGCGCGGCCTTCTGCTAAAATGTAACCGATAGCTTATCCCATTCTAAGCTTGCTATTAATCCCCCGATTGTTAGTTTAAGATGGAGTTCATTTCCGTCTTCTATGTTTCCTGAGCATGTTGGATAAAACCAGCAAAAGTTGACAAGGAAAGAAACTTGAATTTTTAGTGGCTTTGTGTAGATTAGGATTTAAAGTATCTTATAAATTGAAGACCGGTTTTATCGGTTCATAGCGGTAGAATTGCTTAGTTTGTCTTTCGATGCATTAAACCTTTCTTGAATAGAACTTCAGACAAAGCAAAAGCTTCCATAGGCGAGTAGGCGAGTCAAATCTTACACAGACTTAACGGTCGTGCTTACGATTTAAGTTAAAAATTTAATTCAAAAACCTAGCTTAAAAAGCATAAAGATAAACTCAAAAACGCCGGACAAAGACAGAACAAAAACCTCTTAGGTTGTAGTTCATATTCATTAGATTTAAAACTAATTTGAAAACACCAGAAATTAGAAACAAAACGGCCAAAAAAGTGCATCAAAAATGAACTCAAAAAAACAACCATATTATCCACCATAACAAAACACTTCAAATGTTTTTTCGGGGGATTTCAAGAAACAGGCCACTACTTATCCGCGAGACTTCTTAGACGCTTTTCTCATAAAGTTAAATACCTCTTTGAGTCATTAGATTAATTTACTAAGAAATCAAATAAAACGGAATTCACTAGAAGGAAAAATAGATTACGATAATTACCCCAAGACAGCTAGTATTTACTTTGACTGCAACGGATACTTGAGAAAGTAAAACCAATAATTTCATCAGAATTATTGTTTACATGGACAGACTGTTCGAAGGTCATTTTATTCGACTTCGAAAAAATAAATTCATTCTATAGTCCAGCTTGAAATTCATAACATTACTCGTGTATTTGAAGTTTATAAATATATCAGTTTGTTATCTTTGTAACTTTTATTCCAATTGTGTCTCCCTTTTTTCGAAAAGTAAAACATTTCTTCCCAATAAAAATTAGAATTTAGGAATTTGTTTCTAGTCCCGAATTTGAAAATTGAAACCCCTTTTTTTCCGGTCTACGAAAAAAAGAAAATTCATTTTCAAGTTTTGGTATTTTTATTGTTTAGTATGCTAGGCTTTTTTGTTAATAAATCTAGCTGTTTGAAGATTGTTAATCTTGTATAGCCTTTGCAAAAAAATTGTATTACTGAACCCCATTTTTAAAGATATTTTTTGATGTTTTAAATCATTATGTTATGGAACACCTAGTAAAAGTTTTCAAGCTTTAATTAAATCAGCTAGGTTTAAAGCTTACTGTATTACCCTATCAAATTGATCCACTATTTTTCSGCAAAAATGTCTCAGTAAGCGAACATCAAGAATACGAAAATATCTGAAATTATTACAAAATCTCTATGTACACAATTTGTGATTTTAGGCTTGGTCAACTTTGGCGATTGTTTAACCTCGTTGAACTCAATCAGGCAATCAAAATAATCCAAGATAGGGGTGTTTATAGTCCTTAAGAAGAAAGACTATCTAATTATCATTCGGCAACAGCTGGTTTGAGTAACGAAGAAAAGGAATCAAAGACAATACAAGCCTGTAAAAGAACGAGAATATAACAAAAGCATAGCAAAACTAATAATTGACTGCATAAGTGAGAGTCTAAAAAATGGGGTTGGCCGGTGTGGGAAAAAGTGGGAAAAGATTGGAAAGAGAAAAAAAAAAGAGATGAATAGATGTTTAAGGATGACAGCGAAGGATGTTAAGCAAACACATAAATATTCGAGAAATCCCCACCCCCCCACCCTCCAAAAAAAGGTTTCTAATCAATTGGGCGGGTATTAAATGAGGGTTGCCGGACATTGATTTTTAGAAAAATATATTAATAGATGTAAAGACCAAACGGATGTGATTCATAAGTGGAGTTAATTACTTGGACTAACATGTTATTGTATCTGAGTCTCTTAGAGGTTTCTTCATCAACTATGCCTTCCTGAGGAAAAAAAACAGCCACTTCCTTATGGGAGTTCCTCAATATAATCACTCCCATTCTTATCCAAATATTCTGTCGAATTCTTTGCGTTTAACAAATATATATGTTTTTGGTGTGAAACTTTGACACAACGGCTGGAGTGACAGAAATCATCACGATTCCAGTTTTTAAGGCTTCAAACTTCTCTAAGTAGATTTGGCTGATTCGACAGATACTTTGATGATTTTATATCATTTTCATAATTCAGATTTGTTTTTTCTTTTTGGAGTTATAGTTCTCCAATCGTGTATAGAAATTTCTAAATCAATCTAGCAAAGTTTACTGCAATACATTTTTATCGAAGGGAAAATAAAGAGCTTTGAATTTTACATTTTAAAAATACTTCCCAAAATTTAACTTCAGCCTAAGAAAGAAAAATAATAATGTCAAAATCCAAAAGTCAGGATAATTTTGCATCGAAAGAAACGAAAAAAAATAAGTTCCCCAACATTGCTTTAAGAAAAATGAGACTTTATTATAAGAATAACACCTTAAAAGATTTTATAAAAACCAGTAGTGTAACTTAGAATAGACTATTTTGTAACATTATAAGTTTCGTGCTTGGCAATTGCAAAAAATCAATTCTCCATAGTAACTTAATTAAATTATTGATTTGATTCTTAAATTAGATGAAGACGAAATCAAATTGGGTGCGTAAAAGAAACAGAAGCGTACGTATTTCTTAAAAACTCCTTTCAGTACAAAAAGAACGATAGTTTTGATTGCTGTAGTTCACTGGTTTTTTGAAACATCTCACTAAAATTCATGTCAGGATTTTGGTGCCCAGACTTTTTGCTTAAAGTATATTTTGAGATTTCTAATTTTTAAATAGCAAACCAGAGCTAGTTAAAATCAGAGTTAAAATCAGTAGCGCAGTTCTGAAAAATAACTTACTTCACTACAACATTCTGATTTCTTTCCTAATAAAGTTTGTTTTAGCTTTGAAGATTGCTAGAGCGCTGTAATTGGTAATTAGAAAGATCTTACTATATTAGTGATATGTCATGGCGTGCTGTTTTGCCTCTACTTTTCAGTAAACTAAGAGTGCAGTATATATCCCAAGTAAATGGCAAATCATGAGTCATTATTTCAAAGTTTCAGTTTATAAAATTAGATGTAATAAAGATATTTTATGAGCTGAGGGAATGACGCTCCGGTGAGTCCAATTGCCAACGATGACAAGCACAAGTCGAATAATGTTGGTTCACGGGATGGAACGAGCTCGTATAGTTCGATAGAGATGAGTACGCAGTTGGGCTACGAAGCAAACTGGTCTCGCTCGGGTATCCTCGAATGGAGATATTTGAAGCAGGACAGGTGTATGGATATGAAGAGAGAGCATATCTGGTGGGCGATTCTTCGTACGGAGATAACAGCCCTGGCGGAACCCTCGCTCTGTAGCTGTGTGCAAGAGATCTATCGCTGCTTGTCCCGTAAGCAATGTCAGCTAAGTCCTGAGAGGCGCGCAGACCTGGGTATACATATGAAGAACATCCAAGTCCATATGTATGGTGATAATACAACGGGCCATCACGGAATACCATTGAATGACTACATTTTGGTCTTCTTGGCTTTCTTCGACGACGGAAATTTCCTTTCGAGAACTCTGGAAGATCTTTTGGATGGATCATCCAATAGTGTCCCTTGCCGTTCTCCGCGCGACTTGCCTTCACGAAGCAGTCGTTACTTGAGAGATTATGTCGAACACTGTTTCGCCATCCAGGACCTTTTTCTTTGTCAAAGTGAGGATAGTTGTTGGCGATGTAACTGTAGATAGAGCTCAGTGTCATACGCTTAGTTGGAAGGCTTAAAATTGACTGTGCTATTACTGCTACGAATGTCTCTTGGTTTTTCTCGTCCTCTTTACTGTCAGTTTTCTCATTACCTTTTTCAGTTTCCTCTTCTTTAATGAAACGCTTCTTTTCCATGTCTTCTTCTTCTTGTTCTTCTTCCTCTTCTTGATGTTCTTTAGTGTTCCTCGAAGACACAACTCCATGATTCTCGTCTTCATCCCTCACAAGTTCCTCAGGTGTACACATTCTCTCTTCCTTAGTATCCATCTTACGCGACGCCAACTCCTTTGTTGACATTACGGAACGTTCACTACCGGGACTTCTGAAGAAACCAAGTGTATCCTGATCATTGACTAAACGGTAATCGCGATATTCATGGCCACTTTTGTGCAACTGCAGAAAATGGCTCATTTTGAACTTGATAAGTTGATTAGTGAGTGTTAGTTAATCAAGTCTAAGTTGTTCTCTCAGTGGTGCTGTGCTCGACTCTAAATCGACAGCTGTAAAGGCAGTCAGATTTATAATCATCGATACTGGGTTTATCAGCTCTTGTTTGCTTTGTACCTATAGGGGGGTCTTAGATTTCTCTAGGACAGGTGACATGAATAGCAGTTGATGTATCATGTGTTCCTAATCAAAGATTGTAAACAAGCCTGCAATAGCTTCCCCGCTTGTGCGGAGATCCGGGTCGCCAAGGAAAAACAATCGCCTCTTCACAGGGCGCTGTTTGATGCCGAGCAAAAGACTCCAATGTCACGACCACCACTTTCATTCCACAAAATAAAGCACTAAAATGCTTTTAGAAGAGGATTTTGGATCAAGGATGGTTCTTAGAGTCCTTTGGTCTTGAAATCTTTTGAAATGCTTGAATTTTTAATTTGTTTGAAGATTTGTTGATATTTGCTTCATTTGGGCCACTTGTTACGAAATAAAAGTCACCAAATGAGGTTTGTGTCATCTAAATTTAGTTGAATAAAAGTTATTTCAACAACCACTTTTACCAGAACATTCAATGGCAAAAATTACATAAACGAAATGAAATTTATTCTAACAGAAAAGAAAAAAGAAAAAGAAAAAAGAAAAACAAAACCGCTCAAAAACAGATAACAAAAATATTTTTCTAAGCCCTCCTAATACCAGCTAAATGAAAGATGGAACGCACTCACTTAACACGTTCATCGGACAGGTGTAACTGAGTTAGAATAAATTGTTTAAGCCCCACCAACTATTGCCATTCTCACAGCATTAAATAAGCCTATATTCAAGGTTATATCATTATACGATTGTATAAGCTTTATATATCTTGTCAGTAAACTTCGATTAGAGTCTTTAGGTAGGATGTTTCAGAAATCTCTATCAAGAGTCGTGTTTTATTAATCTTAAATTTTTCGCTCTAAAGTCCTTAGCATTTAGATGATTCGAAGAGACTTCGTTAATGATGGTAATTAACTATGCTTAGGTTAAAAACGAAGTTATTTTATTCCTTCTGCGTTGCTGAAGCCAAAAAAGCCCTACTTCACTCTATTCATCACACAAAGCGACAGTGTGAATTTCGAAGGTTTTTTTCTCACTTCGAACAAAGAAAAATAACAAAAACAAACAAAAAAGATGAAGAACGTCGCATTATATATTTAAGTTGAAAGACAAAACGCAGAGGAGTTTTAATAAAAATGTATTGAAATTTAAATTCTTTGAAATACAATTGAAATGCGGAGAGGTGGGCGAGGAAATAGGATGATCAAAGACCCCTTGGTGGTAGGTATTGTAATATAATGTGTTACGCTATGACTGAACTTATTAGTACTAGTGAAAAAACACACAGCTATTATGGCGTAGTCCCTGTTATGGATAATCTTTATTGAATGGAAACTCGTTTAAGTCATAGTTATTTTACTGGATGAGGTCTCGTAGATCGAAAAGAAAGGAGAAGAAAAAACCGTGACATGTCGCGGCTCCAAAATCACGAATATCAAAATAGACGCCAAAATATCGTAATCGTACTTAAAACAATAAAACTATTTAACTGGAATTGAACATTTGCAAAAGTCACTCGCTATTGTAGCTTTTAAAACTTCAATAAAAACATCAGTTTTTTCCGCCAGTTAAATAAAAACAGGCCGAATGTTTTTATACACAGTAGAGTGTCAAAAACAAGCTTTAAAAGTAAGACTAGTTGATATTTCTGAATGAGTTCCGTTTTAGTCAATTAAGATTATGAAGATAATTCCCCCCATAAATGAGCCACAAAATGGGCCCATTAAGAGAGCAAGTCTTCCCATCAATTTAGTTAATTAATCAGTGAGAAGGACCTTTGTCACCTAATTTAGTATTAACAAATTCAGTGCTTTTGACAGCGGTTACCAACCAATGCAATAAAGTCAATGAAAATTACATGTGCTATTGTCGTGAGCAACGCTTAATTTACTTAATTTGATGTATTCTAACRTGTAAATACACGCCGTTCAGTAAGATTCACATTCTATTAACTCAGTATCAACGTCCAAATATCTAAAAACTAGATTTCAGCATTAAAAAAAAAAAATTCGAATCCAAGATTTTGGTTGGTTTTCTTGAGTGAAAATTCAAACTATTATGAGACGAATTTAGTATTATTTTCAAGCTTATTTTCGTTTTCCCATAGGCAATAGTCAAGGCTTCGGAAGTAAGGGAAACTGTTAAGATGGTCTGAAAAGGTTGGTAGGAAATGAGGACTGTGTAATACCTAGTAAAAAAAGCATAACAGGTGACAGTGAGTAAAACGTCTGTAAAATAACCCTTTAAGTGGTATTTTTCCGACATTTTCCCATCTTATAATAGCTATGCTTTTAGGCATAACTAGCGCTAAGCCGACGTAAGGTTCGTAGCTAGTGGTCTAATAATTTCAGGCCTGCAATAAAGAGCTCCGTTGGTTGATACGTTGGCCGAAATTAATGAATTAAAAGCGTTAATGCAGTTCATAAAATTATAGAAACATCATAAAAATTTGATTCAAATTTCAAAGTATCTTTGTATTCGTTATGACCATAATATTTAGCTAAATTCTATCAACGTGAGTATATATTCTTCTTAATATCCAAAGGTTAGTATAAATTGCTTTAGGCCTGATTAACCAAAGCCCTTGTCAATGAATCAGGGCAGAAAGTATCTTTTTTTTAAGTCGAGTCAAGTGTATTCTAAAACTGTCCAAAAATATATCCAAAACATCTGTTGGACGGTAAAGACCAGCTCGTAATGTCAACATTCTATCAGGGAAAAACACTGTTGATTTTTCGCTCATCATCTGTCTTTGTAAAAGTCTTTGAAGACGAAAGAAAATAATCGTCGCAAATTTAATTAGCTTATTGAATGGATTTATATAACAACAGATTTGGACTCAGAATTACCCATTCGCTAACAATATCATTTTCCCTCTCTTCATAACCTAAACTTCGATTCATTTTATTCATCAAATCTTAAACCCTCTAAAAAAGCACTTATCRAAGCATTTCTTAACTAATTGTATTCTCTATTCAGAGATTATCGCTACGTTTGATGTCAGTTAAGAAGCCAGAGAGTACATTTTGCTATAGTACACTTTTGGGGGACAATTCAGTTTATTGCAAGCTCAAAATTTCAGGGAGTTTATTTGCACGCTAGTAATGGTTCATGAACCGTTACACATGCTGACATCTTAAAGAAATGCTAACATTTTAAGAAACTTTCCGCCAGTCATACCATGAAATTGTTTTGTAGACAGATCAAAGTTACAGCTGTCATGGGAGAAGTTAGAACACTTTGCCACAGAAACAACCAAATAAAAAATTATTGATTGCTTGAGGAATGCCTCCAAAGTTTAATGAGCTAAAACTGAATCTTTAGGACGACTCTTATGAGAAGGCCTAGTCAATACACGAGCGCAATATTTCAGGATAAAAATTTCACTGGAATGATGAATCCAGCAAAAACCGATTCATTAAACTTTTAAATTTTAGTTCTAATTTCAAGTTTCAAGTCTAAACTTTTTTGTGTGTTTTGGACCTTTGCTTTGCATTTCCGATAATTTGAGTACTATACATTCTTAAAAATTAAATCTATAAAGTGAAGAAATGATTTTATAATTTGTTGCCATGATTGATTCATAACGTTTTAATAAACATATTCCGAATGCGGTATAAAAACCTTGATTCTGACTTGGTGTTCACAAATTTTAACTCAATACATTTCTTTCCCTAGCTGTGTAGAAAAACACTACATTTTTTTTTCAAACTAGTGAAAAATTCAGAGATTGAGTAGATTGAGTAGCTACTGATGTTTTTAAAAAACAAAACAAAAAGAATGATAACAAGAATAGCTTTAAGGAAACTCGTAGCCAAAACATACCAAATTAGTCATTTAAGGACAACTGTTTCTTGTGTGGTATCGTATTTCTTAATGAAGTAAAATGTACTTCGAATTTGTTATCGTATCGTTATTGAAACTAAATGAATTGATGAATGTTGAAACTATATATCGTACAAATAACCGAGGACGATTGATATAGATCTCTGCTTGGTTTAAGATCGGGACTGCCCGCTTACGCCCCGACTTTCACAAAGATCTACAAGTCAGTGATTTTTTAATTGCAATACGGAAGCATTTTCCAGCTTTCATTTTTCATTTTTCCCGATTTAAGATTTTAATTGCTGCAATTTGAGTTTTCGAACTTACTGTTTCTGTTCAAAATTGCCAGTAGGTTTGAAGAGGAAACGTGATAGTGTAAGGGGAAATAAAGAAAATGAAGCTAGAATTCTTGGTTACTTGACAAATGTATCGAGAAGAAAACAGAGCTTTAATACAAGTAAAGTTTCAACCATTGACTGACATTTTTAAAGAATGTAAATAAACAAAATGTAAGAGTAAACAAGCGAATATGAAATCAACGGTTTATAGTTACTGGGAAATCGACTTGCAGATTTATGGTTTCAGTTTTAAAACATGCAAATTGAAATGGTTCTTTGAAAAGCTCTTAAAATATCGAAGAGAAATCCTTGTTTTTCTTGGAAAAAGACTTCAAAAAATCTGTGTAAATTTTACGAGTTCATGCAAAGAGACTCTAAACTAAACCAAATCCTTTCTTACTCAGTGTAATATAACCTATATAGCTCTTAGATCACATAAAGTGCTGGTTCATATTCTTCTTTCAATTTACAAGTCAAAATTTTGGTTTGTCACTACATTTTTTCTCTCAAATCATCTTGAAATCTTAGTAAAGCGGCTAAAAATGGAAAAAGAAAAAAAAGCTACTCACAAGATACAAGTTTTGAGCACTGCTAATAGCGAAACAGCAATTCTGAATCCAAAATTCTGAAAATACCCGAAGAAAAACAGCTCGGGTCTTCAGTGAAATYTTGAATTCAGCTAAAGAAACACTTGTTGTATTCGAAGGTTTAGGCTTTTTCCTCAGAAACAGGCTCATTTTCTATAGCTGTGAGACTGCAGATCGCTTTTGCTGTTTAATTGCAAGAAAAAAATGTCGCTCTCACCACACTTTGACCTATTGATCTAGACCGCCAAAGGGCTGAC